CCCCCTGTCACGCTGCTCCAGGGGCCAGGAGGCCTCGCGGCTCCGCTGATCCCGGTGCTGGGAGGCATATTACCCTTTTACTATATAGGATAGAGGCCTGGTGCACGGGTGGGGCCAGCTGGTTTGCCCTGAAGGGTGTCCTGGATCAGGGTGGAGGTCCCCACTGGGGTGGCTGGCCAGTCTGGGTGAGGGGCTGAGGGCTGTTTTCAGGCTGGCGGGTGACTGAAGCTACCAACCTCTCCTTTTTTCCTTTTTTTTTTTTTTTTCTTGGATTTATTTACCTTCTATGGCTTTCACTGGAGCTGAGAGCCGGCTTTAGCTGTGAGACCTTGCTGCTGAAAGCAGGTTTCTGGCTTTGTTTACTTTCTGTATTTGAAACTTTGTTGCGACTCCAGCTCTGAGATCTGGACAGGCTGAAAGCAGGTTTCTGGAGTTTTGTTTAGCTTCTATATTTGTAATTGTTTCTTATTAGCTCAGAGCCCAGCAGTGGCAGGCGGGGAACCTGGCTTCCTCCGTCACTGGAGCAAGCAAGCCTCCTGTTTGTGTCAGTAGCCTGGCTGCCGGCCGCCATCTTGGCTGGCAGTTAATTTGCATATCGCCCTGATTAGCCAATGGGAAGGGTAGCGAAGTTACAGCTAATTACCATGTTTCTCTTTTATTAGATAGGATATATTAAAGAACAGTTATTATTGACAGTATAGGATTTGGGAAATTCTAGAGCCTGAGCTGTTAGGGTGACCTCCTGCCCTGGTTCGTCCAGGACTGCGGAGTTCCCTGGGACACAGGACTTCTGAGTGATAATACCTGGAAAGCCTCTGGCAAGCCAAGGTGAGTTGGTCACTCTAGCTCAGTGGTTCTCAACCTGTGGGTCACCAACCTGTGGGTTGCGACCCCTTTGGGGGTCAAATGACCCTTTCACAGGGGTCGCCTAAGACCATCGGAAAACACATATATAATTACATATTGTTTTTGTGATTAATCACTATGCTTTAATTATGTTCAATTTGTAACAATGAAAATACATCCTGCATATCAGATATTTACATTATGATTCCATAACAGTAGCAAAATTACAGTTATGAAGTAGCAACGAAAATAATTTTATGGTTGGGGGTCACCACAACACGAGGAACTGTATTAAAGGGTCGCGGCATTAGGAAGGTTGAGAACCACTGCTCTAGCTGAAATGAATCTTAAGCCATTAAAACCAACATTTAAATTTATTTCTACTCTGTGTGCATTCTTGAGTATGTTACTAACCCTCTCTGAACCTTAAATCTCTCATCTGTGGAAGTGTTTTTATGAATATCAAATTCGATTAAATTTCCCAGCACATTTTCTGGCCCTTAGTAGATAACAAATTGATATGTGTTTCTATTTCATTTTCTTAATTTGGTACAGCGGAATGTAATGAGTGAAATGGGATGAATGGGAGTTGTGGCAAAGCGGTTGTAAACGGAAGCTGTACCTACTCAGCCTTAGCAGCTGTGGCCACTTGGGAAAGAAGACCCAGTATGCCAGATCGTACCAGTTTTTTCTAGAGAAGCCATGCGTATTATTTTTTATTAGAGATATACTTATTTGAATATGTTGACATCACACTTAGGACTTTTAAAAACAAATGTAAGAGCATATCAAAACATTTTACTGGCCTTCAATTCTTTCACTGAGTCTCTTAATTGCATAAGATAGTGAGATTGGATAAGACAACACAAGAAAGTTTATTCTATCTAGATGGAGTACTCACAATTATGAAAAGGAATCAAAATAAATCAATAATGATCCTCCCCCCCCCCAGCAAAAAAAAGACAGAACATTCCCAGGTTTGAAGTTTGAGTTATCTCCTAAATCTAACAACTCAAGTCTGGACTTGTGGGGTTGCAAAATGATGAAGATAGAACCTACTAGCGAAAGCTTCACGAAGTGCTTGCAAACATTAGCTGACAGATTTCAGAACAATTTTAATATTAGTCATCACAGATAAGCCTGCCAAAGAGGGCAGAGTGTTAAAGAACATCTGCAGCACACACAAATACCACTTGCTGAGTTCAACCCAGAGAGGAAGTCAGCTTCTAAAGTCACAGAAGGCAAACCAGCAGAAGCAGCAGTTTTAAATGAAGTGGGTCAACCTTTCTCAGTGGGTGAAGCTGCTATCAGGAACTTGTTAGCTTCCAATATATTGCATGTTTGACCTCTAGCTTTTAGTGACAAGACCTTTTGAGGAGTATTTGGACTCATCCTACCCAATGAACCACTTATACTGTATAAATTGAATTAATTCTGTCAAGTATGGGGATATTAGATGATTAATACTCCTGAGTTATGATAATTTCATGACATGATGAAAACCCTCATGTACCCTGGGATGTATCTAATTGCATTGTAGGACCAAGACGGCAATCACATTGTAGCATTCGCTGAGAAAGCAGCAGAGCCATGGAGTACTGTCTTGAACTTTTCAGAGAACATAAAATGAATTAAAAGAAAACAACAACAAAAAACCAGCCTGCCAAACACTGGTGGGGTTTGGTTGGGGAGGAAAAGTCTCCCATGTGAGTTGAGGTCCTAATTCAGAGATTGGCTTTTTGAACTTAGAAAATGTTGCTGATGTATGGTGATCTGTTTTATTCTTTATCTACAGTTCACCAGTTATGCAGCTAAAGGAGACTTATTTGAACCAATAAGATCAAAGGTTTGTCCCAGGTGGAAGATAATTTTGTCGAGTGTATTATTTTAAGACTGAGAGTCAGGATGAAACTGCAGAGTTTGAAAAGTGACGGGGCTGCTTTAAGGCAGAAACAGGAAGTTGTAACTAGAAGCCATGTGAATGCCAAGCCAGCAGAATGCTCATCAAGTGGCAACTTAGCTAGTGTTTACTCTGAAATCCTCTGGCAGCCAGCTATTTTGCGGGAAATCCGATAAAACAGCCCTTGCCAGGTTTTATGAGGACCCCTACACAGACGGGATGGAGAAGCAGCACAGATTCCTGGCAGGGAAGGATGACGACCAGTTCCAACACCAGGGAGCCGTGGAGCTGCTTATCTTCAATTTTCTGCTCATCCTGACCATTTTGACCATCTGGTTATTTAAAAATCATCGTTTTCGCTTCCTGCATGAGACCGGAGGAGCGATGGTGTATGGTGAGTGCAGCCCCTGCAAGGCTGATGGGAAGCATGTTGCTTGGGAAACTGGAGACTCCTGCTCAGATGGCTCAGTGCCAAAGCTGGAGGAAATGCCCCCACCAAGTAGTCAGTAGCTTGGTGGAAGGTGCTGCAACATAAGGAATGCTCATCTCTACACTCTACAGTTAGCTGCTGACAGTTGCCTGTTCTTCTCATAAAAGTCAGAGTCCTGTTCTCAGGACTGGCAAGTCTGTGGAAAGATGCAGGGCCATTGTCATGTGTGGAGTCAGACCTGGAATTCTTTGTAAAGATAGACCTGGGGAGGATGTCTGCCATGGCAGGAGGGACCTGGGAGCATTAGAAAGTTCTAGAACTAATATCACAAAAATGTCTGAAGTAAATCCCCTACACCAACAAGTTTTCAAGAAGAAAACTTGCAAAAACGCTCTCCACCCCCTTTTGCACTAATTGTGTCAAAATCCATTTTAATTATATGAGCAATGTTTTATCTTCTGATATATGAGTTTCTTAATGCAGTACTTTCTATTTTTTAGCCTCATTTCAGACTTTCTCAGTTGTAATTGTTGTCATTATTAGTATTATTGCCTATGTATCTTTTTTTTTCCATAGTAGGGTGTGTGGAAATGCACTTGTTTAACATCTAAAACTCTCAAAGTGTTGCTTTTTCTGTGTAATTTACAATGTCATTCTTTTCAGAATAAAATGTGACAAAGATTATCCAGGCTGTACTTTCATCTTTTAAAGTAAAATCCAAGCCACCAGTGGTTTAAAAACTGATCTTATTGATGAAATAGTTTACTTTACCACTGTTATCTCAGCCTGATAATGGATAAGAACTTTGAGCACAGTGGAGACAGGTGTGGCATTGTTATAATTCATAGCAAAGAATATGCTTTTACCATACTTTGCTTCTATCATTTTGGAAGTCCTGAGGCCTTTAATGTCACTCAGGTTCAGGGATGGGATCAATCCACATTTTATATGCTAAGCTAACCCAACGAAGTCCCCATAATAATGATGCTTAATCAGGATTGCCCCGCCCTAACTGGATCCCACTGTGAGACACTGGAGCAGGAGGCAGAAAGTTCAGGCTGAGCAGTGTAATTCCTTTCAGGAGACTGACAAACTAAGCCTTTCAGAGCACAGAGTTAAATTTCTTTGTATTGAGAGTCTTAAAACAACAACAAAACTCTCAAACAGAAAGGAAGTGATATTGTCAGATGTCAAGCCCGAAGCTCCAGACACTTGCCCTTCTCCATCATCAGTGGGCCAGGATCTTTCTCTTGAGTTAGCTAATAAATAATCAATGAGGATATGAGATGTAATTTGAAGAGCCAGAAACAATGTAATTCTAGGCATTACATTAAAGGGCTACATATGGTTTAGCAAAACTACAGATTTTAAAATTAGAAATCTTTATTAGAGGGAAAGATTTCTTCACAGCCCTGAATTTGATTGAACTGTGACTTATTTACCAATTTCAGCTTATCTATGATAGAGATACTGTTGTGTAAAACTTTTAATTAAATTTGGTGACATTAAAATTAAAATATACTTTGTACTCACAACAAATAAATGTAACTTTTATTTTGCACCTGAAATTTTTCAGATTACCTTTCATCCTCAAAAACTCCATGAAATACTTAAAAAAAATCTAATAAAGATTGACCTCTAGCTTTTAGTGACAATAAGTTGAAGGTATTAAATATGTCCCTTTTTTTTCTCCACTGACTCCTTCTAGCCCACGCCCAACCCCTGCCCCAGGTCTTCACCAACCTATTTGTCTGTGCCCATGGGTTATGCATATATGTATACAAGTTCTTTGGTTGATCTATTTCCATCCACCCACCCACTCCTGCCTTGCCTCTGAGATTCAACAGTCTGTTCCATGCTTCTATGTCTCTGGATCTATTTTGTTCATCAGGTTATTTTGTTTATTATATTCTACATATGAGTGAGTCATATGGTACTTGCTTTTCTCTAACTGGCTTATTTTACTTAGCATAATACTCTCCAGGTCCCTCCATACTGTCTCAAAGGGATCCTATACTTTTAAGTAGTGATTGAAGTGATAAATATTAGCACATTGCGCTATAGTTGAAATAGCATTTCTCTAGATTGGTATTATTAAGGCAGTTTATGCTTAAAGGTAATGAGAGTGAGATTAAGTTGAGCTGTCTGATTTCTATCATTTCACAGTTTATTTTATGCCAATATTATTGAAAGCAATTTCTGAAACAGTGCATTGTAAAAGGATTATAAAATTGTGAAGACATTACTATTCCAGTACTAGAATTTTGTTTTCCTTGAGTTATCTTGAGCTATAATCAATTAAAATAATTTTCTTTTAGTGTTGTTTAATGTTTTTGTTGACCTAAAATTAAAGTTGTTGGAATTTAAGAGGATCTTAGAGGTTATCTTCTCCAGCTCTCTCATTATACAGAGGAAGAAAGTGAATCTCAAAAAAGTGAAATAACTCCCCCAAAACTTAATAGCCACTCATGTCATGGTCCATGTGCTTTTACTCCTCTTCGTATGTAATAAGGTTCATGTCCGTCTTAAAAGAGCGCTCACTGATAGTCTCTGAAATAGTCCACAAGGATGTCATTAGTGATTTCTCATAGTTCTTCTTTAGGGATGATCTAAAGGTTAAATCCCAGTGTTTACTAGAGACTTTCTGACAGTGATATAACAAAATAGTCTGAAACAACAGAGGAACAAGATGGGACTTTCTAATAAACACTTTAAATGATAAGGGGAGAGGAGAGGCCAAGTAAATAAATTGCTCAGTAGCTGTAAGTGAATTTGAAATTCACAGGTGAAAAGAGGCCTTAGCACAAGTCCAACATCCTCAGTTCACAGGAGAGAAAACAAAAACTTATAGAGGTAAAGGTTATTTAATTAGTTAGCCACTGTGCTGGGATTCAACCTCCATCTCCAAGAGATGCCAAAGGCATTTTAAAATGAGTCAATTCTCTCAATGATTGTCCTGGAGAGAAGAGGTATCTGTGAGCTCCAGTTGCATCCTCATACTGTTTATGCTTCAGGATTAGTCATAGATTCCACTTTCTAGGCAGTCCAAGAGGGAAATTGCAGGATAAAGCCATATAAACCCCTCTTTCTTCAAGGATGAAACTCATGGTTTTTGCTGGAGTCCTACCAAGATCATGATGATAATCAATGGGGAAGAAAATAAACCAAACTATGGTTAAAATTTAAATTTAAAAATTTTTTTAAAGGAGATGAACATTTGAGAGTTAAGTGTACCTCAGTCATCTCCACCCTATAGATGGATATACTTGTAATGAAGCATCTTCTAAAACTTTTTGAGGAGGTACCTAATGCTTATCAATGAAGTTGGCTAACAGCCCTCGATGGCCTGAATACTGACTGCTCTTGCTCTTAACTTTTTGTATAATGTGACATTTTCTCTGTATCGAGAAACATAGCTATTTTTCTAAAACAACAAATTTTCTGTAATACCTCAGCCCAGTGTGCCATCTGCCTTTCTGATGGTATTCAGTTGATATGTTTCAAATAGTCTTTAGAAGACATAATAGATATTGATACATTTTATCAGTATACCAGAGAATCCAACGAAAACATTCTAGGGAGCAGGGCCTTAGGAAATGAGCAGTTAAAGTAAAATGAAAGAAAAGTGATTAAACATAACATTTCACTGCTCTTTTACTTAATGTTATAAACAATTTCCAAGTTGTTAACCTTAAAATACAGGGGTGGGCAAAAGTAGGTATACAGTTCTTCATATGGAAAGAGACATGCAGATTATAATTATTACAAATAGCTTTATTGACTCAATAGAATGTCACAATGGCACAGTAAACCTAGTTTTGCCCACCCTTGCAAGTATTGTTTGATTTGAATTTGTTCTTTGGAGATAGAGCTGCTACTCCAAATCCAAATAATCCACTATATGAAAAATAGCTTTTGTCTTGGTATTAAGGGCCACAGGATGCTTTTAAAAATTAGTGGCAATATTCTAACAATATTTTTATCTCACCAGGAATAGTAATGGGTAATTGTGTTTCATGATATACTATGGCTCTCATTATTTCAAAATGGAAGGATGAGAGTCCATAACTAATTTAAAATATATGCTATGAAGATACTAATCTAAATTGGACTAAAAGCCTAAATGACTATTAATGGTCAAAGTATTGATTGATAGCAGCTTGGTGCACTTAGCGCTGCTCACTTAGGTCTGTGTCTCCAGCTCCCGTTCATAAAGAAAAATGCCCCTGGTGTCCTGATAGCATTGAGAGTTCCATTACACATCACTGGGCGCCTCCTTACTTCATAGGACACTCATAATGCCCTGTGCTCAAGGGCTGGGGTTGGAGCTTAGGGACATACAATTTAAACCTCTTAGAATTCCACCTTTGACTCCGTGGCCTTACAATATATGGCACAGCCTCTGAATTCGTGTGGACATTTTGCTCATTATTTAGTGGGTAGAAGTGAAATTTTAAGCCACAAAGTTTAGATTTTTAATTCATTAAACTAAGTCATATTAAACTATTAAATTATATCTGATGCTTAAGAGTATACTTAGCAGTATAATAGGGCCAATTTAGTTCATTCAGAAGCATGTTTTTTAAAATTTAAAGAAAATATAGTTACATAGTGAATCAGCAAGGTTTTTAAAGCCATCGTTCTTTAAAAAATCATAAGGCATCCATTTCATCTTAGCACTGCTCAGAGGATGCTCAGGATAAAATTGGGTTGTTGGACAAAACATGGCTCAACCCTGCTGATCCATATGTCCTGCTCCAGTCTGACCCTGTCTCCAGGCCTGCCCAGCCCAAGGGATAGGCTCACAATACTCCCCACCTTCCCTACCTGGAAGATCCTTCCCAAGGTTTTACTGGTTCAAATGTGTCAGGCTTTATGGAGAAAGCATTGGATCCTCTCTTGGGCATTTGAGTTTTTAAATCCCAATAAAAATTTTTTTTCTGAGTTAGATGCATTACTTTGTT